GATATAATTTATCATTAAGACCTGTAATATTGCTTTGTTTTACGGATGACCTATATAAGCATTTCATAGAAGTCGTGTATTCTACGCGAGGTACCTTATCCCCGACATTTTATATTATGCTTTTCATAATTTGATTCGTTGATAGTCATATGTATTACAGGATCTAGTGTTACATTATCGACCAAGCACATATTTTACCATACTGACCATCCAGCGTTCGCTCAAGTATTTAATTTGTAAGAAATTCCGTAGGATCTACAGGGCGATTTGTATGGTAAAATATGGTCATTCATGAGCGATCGAACACTGTGACAAATAAGTTTGCTACATTATAATTAAGGATCCAGTCCTAACTCTGAGATGCTTTTTTTGAAATTGTAAAGCAAAAAAAAAAAAAATTTATATGGTTTGCTTTTAAATTTTTGAATTAAAAATTTAACCATTTTTCGAAAAAAAATTTATTAGGAGGTAAATATAATGATAAGCAACAACAGCTAATAGTATTTCCATTAAAGCAATACAATTTAAAATTATTTATTCATGTTTTATTTAGTCGGTGAGCATAAAAAACATTTATTAGTGTGAATTAAATAAGTTATTAATTATTACATAATGTCCATATTTAATTCATTTTTATTCGCATTTAGTCCGTGAGTATAGAGATTATTCATTGTCGTTTACCATAACATGATACTCTTATTAACTGTTTACTCGCGTTTATTTAGTCCGTGAGTATATAGAAATTTTATTAATCCATGTATTTAAAATGAGCTAAATATTTAATACTACATGACAACCATATTTTACTCTCATTTAGTCCGTAAGTATAAAGACCGTTTATTTATAAATGTATTTAAGATAAACTATTCAAATTCATGAAGACTTACTATATATAATATAATTTATTCACATACTTTAGTCGGTAAGTATAAAGAATATTTATTCGTAATACATTCAAACTTTATTAATATTTATTATTATACTATACCTTCATCTAATTAATTTATTGTAGTTAGTGAGTATAAAGAACTTGATTCGTTGATTAATTCATTATAAATTCATGAATATTCATTATTACACGTTGGTTTCTTTTAATTTTATCTTATCCATCGTAAACTAGTTCGTGAGTACAAAAGATATTTATATTATTTGATAGGGATGTTATCGGCTCACCCGGCTCTATTAATCCGGTATTATAATAGTTAAATATACAAGCTACCGATAACATCCCTATCTATCAATGTACATCTTTATAATCTATTTAAGCTCGTAAATATTTATTTCGTTTAATTTTGTAATATCAATATAGTAAGTGAGTAGAGCTTTTATCGTTATTGTCGGAATAACTATCCAATTTTTTATGAATATTTATTATTACACATATTTTATTATTTTATTCATATTACTTTAGTCGGTAAGTACAAAGATCATATATGCGTTAAAAAAAAACTGCTACATATTCACATTTAATAAATATGCACCATTATTTCATTTAGGTTTAAATGGTATGTATAAAGATGGTTATTAATTTATACCTTTAAACTTAATCATTCATGAATCCCAATTTCATTTTATTATAATCTAGTCCGTAAGTATCTGTAACATTTTTAAATAAGTTATTCAAATCTATGAATATTTACCTTACTCAATATCTAATTAATTTAGTTCGTAAGTATAAAGATTATTTATTAGTTAATATACAATATTAAGCTATTCAAATTCATTAATTACATTTTATCCTCATTAATTTAGTCTGTGAGTATAAAAAATTTTATTAATTAGCTATACATATAAGCTATTCAAGTTTACACCATATCTCCAATTTAATTCGAATTAATTTAGATCGTAAGTATAACCTTCATATTAATTAATTAATGCATTAAGTTATAATAATAATTATTCAAATTTTATTAATACCTATCTCTATTAATTTTATTTAGCCGGTGAGCGTAAAAATTTATTTTCACTAATAATTAAAATGTCAATAAAATATCTAAATTTAAAAAAAAAAGTAACTGATAATTATCGTTAATGATTTTAAAGACATTCCGAATATGGAATATGCGCACACTGTAATGAATATAATACAAATACAGCATGGTGTCAGACATGTGATCCCGATATAACAGTCAAAGGATGGACAAGTGGAAATAAGGATATTGATTGTTGTATAAAAGATTTTCAACTTAAAACTATTGAGTATGAGCGTATGATTGAATGGATACCATTTGATAAACTAAATGATATTAAAAAAATCGGTGAAGGTGGATTTGGCTCGGTATTTTCTGCAATCTGGTTGGATGGTGTACGAAAAATAGATAATGTTGATGGTAATTATATAAAAACACGTGAGCCATCTAGTATCGTTGCTCTTAAAACCTTATCTGGTCCTAAAAAAAGTCCTATCGAGTTTTTAAACGAAGTAAGCTAACTAATTGTATAATTTGTCCGTTATTTAAACGTATAAAATACTATATATATTAAGCTAACTTATCTATTTAAATTTATCTAAGTTTGTTAATCACATGAAATGTAGAATTTATGGTAGTAAACTTGAGATATATGGATTAACACAAAACACAAAAACGAATGAATACTTGATGGTATTTCAATATGCCAATAATGGGTGTCTTCATAAGTTTTTAAGAACAAACTTTAAAGATCTTACTTGGCAGATTAAATTAGGTCTTCTTATGGATATTGTAAATGATTTATATGAAATTCATAGCGCTAGCGTTATTCATTCTGATTTTCATAGTGGGAATGTTTTATTAAATCAACGTGTTAGTGAAAATATGCAATCTTATATCTCAGATCTAGGATTATCTAAAAATGAAAATGAAAATATTTCAGAATGTGGTATTTACGGAGTTATGCCTTACGTCGCACCAGAAGTCTTATCAGGTCAAGAATTTACAGCAGCATCTGATATTTATGGATTTGGTGTCATTATGTCGGAGATGTCAACCGGACAAAGACCTTTTGATGGTTATCAATTTGATACTAGTCTTGCAATAAAAATTTGTAAGGGATTAAGACCAGAGTTTGCTTTAGGAACTCCTGATTTCTACATTGAATTAGCTATGCAATGCATGGATTCAGATCCCAAAAGACGACCTGATGCTCATGATATTTTGTGTAGACTTAATGAATGGAATGAATGCATGAAAAATTCTGATCTAACAAATAAAACTAAAAAGGAATTCTTAGATGCTGACAAATTATCTAAAACATTATTAACAGTTATACCAAAGCATCCTGATTCTATGTATACTAGCAAAATTATTGATACGCGAAAAATATCAAGCGAACTTAAAGGTATTTTATTTAATGATTGTGCTATTATATCATTTATTTGTTATTAAATGTTATATTATATCATTTAGATTCTTCTATTATTGAATTTTATATTTCTGATGATGTTGAATTTTTATTTGTAATTTATTAACAATAATATAAATAATATCTTATTTAAAAAATGAAATTTGGTGTAATTGTTAAACTATTATAGTTTAAAATCAAACTATATAAGAGTGTTAGTTACAAAGTGTGTATGGTAGTACATTCAATACTGAACTAGTAAATAAAGATCATCTGCGAATTTTAAAGATTCATAAAAATTTTAAATTATTTATAGCTTAAAAATCTTACAAAATTATATTATTAATTACACGTATTAGTATTAACTTGTTAGTTTTTATTGATTTTCTAATTTATATTTTTTTTTAAATTTTAAATTTAATTTTTGTTATAAAATGTACTCTGATAGTTAGATGTGGAATAGCTTTATTTAAATAGGTAAAATTTTATTTTAAAAATTGATTTTTATGTATTGTAGTTGGTATTTATATATTATACAAGTGAAGGCTGGTGCCCAGGTAGCATTACTTGTGCCAAATTTTTAACAGTAATAATTTACAAATAAAAAAAGATCGCTATAAAAAATTACTTAATTTTCTTAAGGACCCATGGCACTTCTATATTAGACGATTGTGAAATTTTAAAACTGAGTTGGTTATATCCTGAGTTCGTTGCACAAAATTCATTATATCCAAAGTTGACTGTATAAATAGTTTGTATAATAATAAAATAAATAAATGGTACATTTACTGGTATTTCATCAACATAATTGAGATTGAATAATATTTAAGTTTATTTTTGTTTCTCATATTTACTTGAGGATTAGATAATGTGACAGGTATATTATTTGCTGGTGTTCATGAAGAAATAGATATTTATTATTGCATTGAACCTTAATTAACATATTGAAAAATATTATTGATGTTTTTAATAGTGATGAAACTAAATGTTTGAAATGAGAAACTGACTTTAAAAAATGTAAATTAAATGTTATCAATATCAATAATATTTTTTTAAACTAGATAAAGTAAATTTTTTTATAACTTTGTTTTTTAATGCTATTCACTTTACTGATATTCATTCTGTTGACACGAGCAAAACAGCGAGTCAGTCGCTTCTCAAACAGATATGTTGTGTAACCTATGAATGGCTTAGTCGAAATGAGATGGTTAGATTTGGTAAATGATTAGTTTTGTAGGTATTATTATAATGACAGTAGGAAATTATTATTAGGGGATGAATTTTATTTGAATCATGAACACTGAATACTTTCTTCAGAGGGCTCGAATAGTAATATACCACATACTGTACTATATGTACTGTACTATATGTACTGTACTGTATATACTGTATGCTAAATTTTTGCTGATCATTTATTAAGAGGGCCTGATGTGTCAATTGATCAATCAAATTTGTTAATTGATTAACACAGATAATTTCTGAAAAAGTTTTCTTATTAGATAAACTAGTACAGTGTCTGACTAAAATTAAATAGATTCATGCATTAACTAGTCAAGTGTTACATTGAATGTTTAAAGTAATACATACTTTATGCAGTGGTTACTTTAGATGCAATACATGCATAATAATTATAAATTAGATAATAAAATTTTTAGCTGTTATTAAACTTTTCTTTTCTAATGACAAAACCAAAAAAAATTTGGGACCATTTTACAAAATTAGGAATCATAAATAGATATACACAAAAAAGAGCAAAATGTAATTGTTGTTCTTTTGAATGTGCAAGTACAGTAATATGATGTAAAGAACATTTAAAGTATGTTCTAATGTAAATATTTCTGTCTTACAAGAATATTTTGGACAAGATTTTGAACATCCTAGAATCAATGGTCCTAATCCTAGATATACAAAAAAATGATTAATTAGTCAACCATCAATGTTATCAAATAAACAAAATAGTGATATTATTCAATTTTCTGATCAACTAAGTACTAATGAACAAAAAGGACTTGAATTTAGTTTTGCAGAAGTTGTATTTCAATGTGGTCTTCCACTTTCTTTTTCTAAGCTTGAACCAATTATTAAACTTTTTAAAAAAGTACATCCATTATTCAAATTACCTATACAAAAAAAACTTTTAACAACATTACTTAATCAAGTATATAAAAAACAAGTCTTGAAGTTCAGCAATATATAGATAAAGCAGAAAATATTTGTATAATTACAGATAGATGGCAAGTATATTTAATAAAAATAATTTATTTAAATAAAATTTTTAAATTATTTTATTTAATATTTAAATATTTTATATTTAATTAATTTAATTTATAATCTATATAAGAATTAGAGAAAGTTATTATTATTTTTAATATATATTTAGAATCTGGTGTTTTTCTAAAGAAATCTATTAATTTTACTAATTAAATTACTTTTAATTACTAAGTAAAGTTATAGAGAAGAGTTATATAATTATAATAAAAGTTAAAATATTTAAATTGGTTTAGAGAATTATGAAATATGAGTATTTTTGTCTTCATAATTATTAGGATTCTATAATTTGATTTAATTTAAAAATTTATAATTGAACATTCAAAGTTATAAGATATTTACTCATAATTTTATTAAGATATCTAACTTAGTTGTTCTATGAAACTAGGAGTATTTTGTTTAGAAGAATACTTTTACTTAAGAGCCTAAGATTGATTAACATAGTAACTTTTTCATAAATCAAGTTTTTTCTTTGGCAATCAATATTTAAAAATTTTTTTAAATTAAATTAAATTCAAATATTTGAATTAAATATTTAATCAAATCAAATAAAATAAAAATAATATTTGATTTGACCAAATTTAAATCAATCCAATATTTGATTTGATTTTGATTTGAAGAACCTTAATGATTTTATATTTTTTTCTAAAAAAATAAATATATAGTTATAAAACAAAATACCTATATCTTGTGATCTATTAGGTTAATTTAAATGTTTTAACCATTATTATAATCATATAACTCTTTTTTACAATCTTATTTAGAAGTTGAAGAGCAGTTTAGTTAGTAAAAAAAAATTTTTAGTAGAAATTTCAGATTTTAAAAATAATAAAAAATATATAATAAATATATCTTTATTATTTATTATATTGTTTTATTAATTCTTATATAGATTATAAATTAATTATTTATTACTTATATAAAATTAAATATTCTTTAATATAAAATATATTATATTATATTTAAATTTATAATATATTATTGATTATTATAATATTATAATAATAAATTAGATTTTATAAAATTAATTAATTAGTTTTTAGAATTTAATTAGATTCAAATTTGTAAATTTTTAAAAAAAAATTTATATTTTAATAATTAACTAAGTTTTAAAAAATTGTTTTATATTAATTTATTTAGGTCTAATTTAAATAATGAACATTGGACAAATATTATATTTACTACTCCAACTTCTGTATTTATATCTGCAAAACCTACTGAACAAATTCAACAAAATGCAATTAATATTGCTAGTAAAATTGAAAAAGCTATATTGTTTATTAATAGTATAAAAGTTTCAGCTATTATTACTGATAATGCATCAGTAATGAAAGCAGCCTGGAAAATTTTAGAAAAAAAATATCCTTTAATTATATTTTTTGGATGTTTAGTTCATGGAATAAATCTTTTAATTGGTGATATTATGAAAATTGAATGAGCTAAAACTATTCTTGAAAAAGCAAAAAAAATTGTTATTTTTTTTCATAATTATATTATTCCAACTACTATTTTAAAAAAATATCAAAAAAAAAATGGTTCTAATTATAAGTCATTAAAGCTTCCTATTAAAACTTACTAGTATTCTGCAACAAGTTATTTAGATTCTGTATATAAGAATCAATTAGCTTTAAGTCTTACTATTATTGAAATTATTAGTAATAATACTATTGAAATAGATAATAAAATTAAACTATATATTTATGATGAAAATTTTTGAAATGAACTTAAATCACTTTTAAATTTATTAGAACAACTTGCAATGGGATTTCTCTTTTTAAAAATAATACACTAAAATTATTAGAATTTTATTAATGGTATGATAAATATTAGCATTAAAATGTAAGTAATTTATTAATTGAATATTTTACAAAAATTTAAAATTTTTTAATATATAATAATTATATAATAATTATATAATTATTATTAAATTTAAATTATATAAATTTAATTACTTGGTTTTATTATAAAACTTTTAAATAAACTTAACTGACTAGATTTTTTAAAAAAAATTTATATATAAAATTTTATTTAAAAGTTTTTAAATTTTAATTTGATTAAATTATAAAAACTAATTAAATAATTTTATATAACTGTAATAGTAATTATATAAATATAATATAATTATTATACAGTTATTATATATTAAAAAATTTGGATTTTTATTAATTATTATATTTTAAAAAATTATTATAATTATATTTTATTTAATTAATTTTAAATTTTAAATTATTTATATTTAGGTATTCAACAATTTCCTAATGAAGTTTGTAATAATATTTTAGATATTTTATCTGAAAGATGGACTAAAATATATCATCCAGTTATAGAAGTTACATATTTATTAGATCCTAAGTTTGTTGGTTATAATCTTGAAGAAGATGAAATGTCAATTATATCTGATTTTTTAGAACAATATTATTTAGATAATGCAGAAGAAATTTATACACAAATACTTCAATATAAATCACAAACTGGACCTTTTCAAAATCAACTTGCTTGAAAAACTGTAAATAAAGTTAATTCAATAATTTGGTAGAATGGTAACTTTAAAACTTCAGCTTCTAAACTCTGCAAATTAGCACAATGTATATTTACAATTCTGACATCTTCAGCATCTTCAGAACATAATTAGTTAGCATTTAGTTTTATACATAATATTAAAAGAAATCGATTAATATTAGATAAAGTTTTTAAACTTGTTTATGTTTTTACAAATCATAAACTAAAGTTAATACAAATTAAAAAAAAAAATAATTATGAAAAAAAAATTCTGATAATATATTTAATAATTGGAATAAAAGTAACAATGAAGATGAAAATTATGATAATGAAGAAATAAGTGATAATGAAGAAGAACAAATTAATGAAATAGAAAATGAAAATATAATTTGTGATAAAAATATGGAAAATAATGAATTAGACTAAAATAAAAAACATTTATATATATTTAGCAAAAATATATAATTATATTTTATTAAGAATTTTTCCTTAAATATATTAAGGTTTTTTTTTAATATAGATATAATTATATATTTATATAAATTATAAATTTTATCTTTTATAACTATGTATTTATATAAATATTAAATAAAATAAAATTTTAAATAAAATCAAATCTATATTTAAAATGATTAAAATAAAAAATATACAATATTTAATATTTAATTAAAATTATTAATATTAATTATTATAATATTTGTATTGCTAATTATACTATATATATATTTTTTGTTCCAATATATTTATACTAAATTTTTTATACAAATAAGTTATAAATTTCTAACATTATATTAAAAGACTTGTTAATATCACTCCTATTTTTGTTAATGCCACCCTTTACAAAATCTAACTCTAATTAATAATTAAAATCTGAAAGATCAGAGATTAAATATTTTGTATAATAATAATAATATTTAAAATCATCTTACAAAAATTGGATCAAATAAAACCTTTAACTAAAGATATGCTTAATGTAATTACTGTTATTAAACTTTGCAAAAAATATATACAAATTCACTATTTTGATTAGCTAATGACAATGATCAAAAATTTACTGAAGTGATATTAGCAAAAGTAGAAGGTGACATTAACAAATCTCTATATTAATTATAATTTAAACTAATATTAAAAAAACTAAAAACATAAATACTAAATAAACTTTATTATATAATCTTAATTTTTTATAAATAAGTACTATATGTCCTTTTTTTGTTATTGATATCTTTCACTTATATTACAAAAATATTCTTTATGATTAAGTTACTCTTTTAAAAATAAATATAACAGATAATTTTTAGTAAAAAATTGTGACTGCTCATTAAGTAAAATTAGGGTTTGAGAATTTGTGGCTTAATGAATCCTGTATATCACTCACAGGATTTTTTGAAAAACTGCAATTTGACCATCTTTAGCTGTATGTTCTCTATACTATTCTAAAAAATAACAACTATGTATGTCCAACATTGTTTTGCATAAATAGTTAAAGTATAAGTTGTAATGTGCCACTTACTATATGCTAAAATTTTGACAGTTATTTTATAAGTTCCAAAAGTTTATGCCATAACATTTATAAGTTCCTAATAATTCCGAAATGATTATGAAATATTTCAAAACTATGATATAAAAATTTATACTAATACATACTATACATATTATATATACTGTATGTTAAAAAAATCTGAGCATCATATAAATGGCACATCACTAGGCTTGAGGCTTTTATTATATATTTTCATTTACATAAGGCATGTTATACATTCAATTTGTGATATTGCATGATAACTTATTATTTCTTGCATACTAATTATAATGTTTATATCAATGATACTAATTATATTGTTTATACTAATTATTATAATTATTCACTGTATCCTACTAATATTCATTATGAACATGATGCATACTAGGAACAGAGTATGCTTGCAATACTGAGTGTATAATTTCCTGCCATCTGGTTGAATATCAAGATTATAATATTAGGTTTTCATAGTATGTATCTAGAATGTTGTCTTACTACTGTGAGGCCCAATAACATGATGTAAATACTCTGCCAAAACCTCATGTAAGAGTGGATATGGCAATCAAATCCTTAATATGGATATCCTAGCAATTAATCACATTAATGTGATTAATTAAATAAATCAAGGAAGT